TATATACAATACATATATTTGATTAATATCAAATACATATATTTGATTCATAGTACGTACTTTATTACGATTCTATTACGTTATTCCGAAGAAGTGAGAGAACGTAATTATTGTAGAAATTCTGTATTGGTTGTAAAGGAATCGTCGACTTTGCGGAAAGAAATTGAATTAATAGAACTCGAGCCAAGTCAATTGCCATAAACTTCTTTAAGAAACATGATTAAAGATCGAAAGGGATATTCTAGATGAAGGATGAGAGCCAATATTTTCCGGACGACAAAATCGTTACTAATTATCGAGAAAATAAAATCATTAAAAGTCGACTCTCTATCTATTATATACATTATTATATAATGTATATATAACGATGTCATTTTAAATTCACATTCTTTATATAGCTTAGAATATCTCGACTGAAATAGTTTCCATTAAAAAGTATCGGTAAAGTCATAGTTATGATAAACTATAAAACTTGCGAAAAGTGTAGAGAAATCTACTTTTACGTTTATTATTTGTATCAACTAGCACAGTAATCGTAGCACCAATATTTTATGTGTCGCGCTTGATACCCTAAAATGAAGTAAAAAGTTTACAAAGCTACGCGACTTCGTAAAGAGGAATGATGCGGAGTTCGCATTAGGATGGAAAATGTGTTTGCAAAGAGTAATATGAACGAAGGCGCTTAAAGACTAACGAATGTTTTCATAATGAAGAAAGCAAAAATATGAAGGATTAGAAACTAAATAGAGGAAGATAGAGATAGATAGAAAAAAAGAGAGAAAGAGAGAGAGAGAGAGAGCATGAAACGAAACTGTATATTTTTCTTTTGAAAAAATGATAAAAGCATGAGAATATCAAGAATAACATCATTTTCGATTCTTTTGTCTTTCGACTCCTACTCCTCTGTCCTTTCTTTATATATGAAAACGCATAGTTAAAAGTAAGTAAACTAAGTTACTTGCTATTATTAGTTTTACTTATTTAGTTAAATGAACGTGACAGTTTTATCTTTTCACATTATTAGCCTCATTAAGGTTTCCTTCTCTTTCTCTCTTTCTCTCTTTCTCTCTCTCTCTCTCTCTCCCTCTCTCCCTCCCTCTCTCCCTCTCCCCCCCCCCTCTCTCTCTTTGTCTTTTTCTTTTAAATAATAATATTTATTCTTGCAGAAAACGAAGTAGAAATAATAATGCTCGTTTTATTATTTTCGTTTTCGTTTCGATCAAATAACTTTCCTAATCGACGTGTTAAACTTTTCAAGGATTAATTACGTCAACAGAGACGATCCTTCTTTGAAATAAAAACTAGAAAATGTTGAATGAAAGTAGACGATTGCTTGTACCAACGATTCCTTCGAGTACGATACGAAATCATGGCGTTGTCCGGGAATTCAGTCCCCATGGGCGTTTCACGCACACTACTTTCTTCTTGTAAGTTCTATCAAGCTCCGACTTTTTCCTTCGTCGTTCTATCGTAAGACGAACTAAGCTAAGCGACCGTTTTAACTTAACGATACCAAAGCGTCTCGCAAGAAGTTCACTCGCAATCAACGTCGTTGCATTACCGAGAAAACGGAAAAAAAAAGTTAAGTCGAGAGTAAGAGAGAGAAAGAGAGAGAGAGAGAGAGAGAGAGAGAGAGAGAGAGAAAAGAAAGAAATAGAAATGATAAAGAAAAGGCATCTTTAGCGATGCGCGTGCGAGATAAGCATAGCTTATCTGTTTTTCTACGAGCCTTGAAAAGAAATGTAGACGATTAAGGAAAGACTGTGATCTCTAATCCTGAAAGAAAAAGATCAAAAGAAGAAAAGGAAGGAAAATATATGGGGAAACTCGTTACAATCGCATACTCGATGAAACCTTTTGTCTTTCGAAATTTCTCTCTCTCTCTCTTTCTCTCTCTCCCTCTCTCTCTCTCTCTCTCTCTCTCTCTCTCTCTCTTTCTCTCTCTTTCTCTCTTGTTTTTTTATCGACAGAAATATCTCAAGAAAAGCGAGAAGGAATACGCTCGTGGAATTTTCGCAAACCAGGATAAGATTTAATTATCGTTCTAAATTACGAAAAAGAAAAGAAAGAATTCTTTGACGAAGGAATACGTTTCGCATTCACGGAGAACAGAACTCGATGAGCTTCGAACAAACTCGCTCTAGCAGGCATCCCTATCCAATCCGAGCGACCAATGAATCACCGAATTCCCTGCGCCATGCTGGATAACCTTTGCTGTTGGCGCCATAAATCAGACTATCTCGTGCTCGTACCAACAATTTTATTATTTTATTTGTCCGTAGCTATAGGCGTCCTAGAGACGGCTGCCTGCCTAACTAAAGTCATTTCCAGTACGTTCTTCGGTACGTCCTCGAAAATGCCTCTGTTGTCTTTCCGCTCACATATAAATAAATTATGCGGTCTCATCGATATATGAGTCCATCACGTTTGTTGAAATCTTTTTATTTTTGTTACCAGCTTTTGATAAGGACGGTCGGTCTTTTGCAAGATCTCTCATATCTTTTTCTTTTCTTTTTTGTTTTTCTATCTTTTTATCGAATAATATTTCTCAGAGAACGATTTTCTCTTCTTAAAGTCAATAGATTCGAAAGAGATTATTTACTGTTACTTGCACGTACTGAATCTGACTTCGAGGAGTACCCACTCGGAACGTCAATAATTTAACCAAAGTATGCTCGAGACATTGATAGGACAGAAGTAAACTTTAAAATTTAAACGCTCTAATCTTCGGCCATATCTCGGTTTACCAAATCGATAGGATAAACGTTCTTGAAACTACTTTTCTCTTTTTCGTCGATGAAGAAAACTTCTTTTATCGCGAAGTTTGTCTTTTGATCGAGATAGAACGGAATTATTTAATAAAGCTTCTTACTTGTTTGATTTACTGAACAATTTAAATCTCTTGGAATATTCGACCTATGGCCGCTTTTCAGAATCTATCTTTCGAGAAGTTAAAATAACCCTGTCAACAATAAAGAAATACTGAATGCAATATTAACGCTTATAGTGTATTTTGACGTAACGCAAGAAGCGACAAAGTAGAAAGGTGAGAAATAAGTTCGGGAGAAACTCGAGGTATATAACAGAGTTCGTACGAAGCATTTCCATTTCGCTTTAAATGCTAATTACCATCAAGTTGATCCGGATGGACTCGGGACTGCAAAAACATCGTTCCTAGTAAATTTCTCTTTCGTAAAGCTAGTTATACCTCGGAGTTATATTTTTTTTCCCCCTCTATAATAGAGAAGAAGAGAAAGGGCGACGAACTCATTGGAAAAAAATAAAAGGGACAGAAGAATTGGGGATTCCTTAAAGTTTCTATTACTTTCAACTGTTCCATTATTTGTTCTTGCAAAATTTGCGGTGAGAGAAGGTACTACCGTCTCCTAAATCTCTCTCTCTCTCTCTCTCTCTCTCTCTCTCTCTCTTTTTCTTTCTCTTTAACCATCTATCCATTCGTCGCGCTTTCTCTGACTAAACTAAGCGCAAGGTAATTAACGGGATCCTCAGAACTCGTGTACATTGATTCTTCCTTGTGTATAGACCAGTCGTCCAATTTACCGAACAGTGCGCAACTATCACCAAGGAATTAATTACTATTATTAAGCGAGTCGTTAATCGGACGACCAGCGATCTTTCGTCGAAAAGTCTTTGGGAAAGTTATTCATTTATCTAAACATCGAACTATCAGTGAACCGTTAAAATTATTCGACTATAAAGTAACTTATTTCATTTTCATATCGAACGCATAACTATACGGAAATTCTATTCGAATCTTTAACTTTGTTCGATGAATATTGTATTTATATACCTGGAATATCTAGTTACTATTACCTACATATATATTTCTTCGAAAATTCAACAAAATCCATTATTAACCGACGCATGCAACGATCGACAAGTAGTCTCTCTCTCTCTCTCTTTCTCTTTCTCTCTCTCTTTCTCCCTCTATTTCTCTTTCTCTTTACTCGTATGGCTCACGTGAATTGATCGTGAGAGACACGTGAAAGTTGAAACTTTGTCATATTATAGTAAACTTGGTCCAATTAAAAGTACACTCTAATTAACTTGGTATAATGTACATATATTTAAACTAGCACAACTAAATATCATAACTTTTGAAAGGTTAAGACTTTTCTGATAACGCCTTTTATTTTGTAACTTTGTTAAAGATATGTATCTATATATAAGATCATGTATTAGAATTATATTTTCTTTTTCATCTATATTGATACGATTTTATTCAAAGTCTAACAGAAATTTCTATTCGTTGCTCGTTGTTATATGCTCGTCGTTTATGTTCGTCGTTTGAATTATAATTTGATAACGTACAATCGGTTTTTTTATTAATTAATGATATAGAATAAGAAAAAAAAAGAGCAATAAAGCTAACAACTCCAATTAATTGTCCATTCGTTTTACAATGAAGACAATCCACGTATAGAGTCTCACGTAATCCCAGCACCCTTTGCTTTATCTCTACGCTTACCTCAACACGTGACGTATTTGCGAAAGACAAACGAAAGGAAATCTTCCTCTATTCTTTTTCATTCGTTGCCGAGAACTAAATTCGTTCAGTGTATATAAGTCACAAAGTTCAACATCTCGTAATCACGTGTCAACATTTTTCTTTTCTTTTTCCTTTTTCTTTTTCTTTTTCTTTTTTTTTTTTTTTTTTTTACAGAAAATAAGCTCTTGCCAACATCGAGACGTACATAGATATCATTGAAAATGTCTGTCAATAACAGACTCCGAATGTAATCAGACGAAATTCGGATCGATATCCTCGTGCCTCTCAATCATCCCATTACTTATTCAGTATGATCGGAGATCGATCGATTATGTTCGTTTAAATTTCTTTTCATTGATTGACTGATTGATTGATTGATTTATTTATGTATTTATTTATTTACTTTTCTTTCTTTTATTTTTTTTTTTTTTTTTTTTTTTTTTTTTTTTTTTTAATTTCTCTTTTACATTGTAATTGTTCCACCTAACGTGTATTTCCTTTTTTGATATACTTTCTAACAGCCATTAATCAAAGTTTTGCGCAGACGAAATAATGGAATATCGTATAACCAATGCTGTAATTGAAAACTTGTCAGTACAATGACGGAAATAACGAATATACAAAATTAATTCGCAGTGTACAGTTCCCTTACCGCAGTAGTATATTAAATTTCTCACTGAGAGAAATTCAAGGCAAGGAGAGGCAGAGTTAAACTGTCAGAAGTGTGTTAAAATCGACTATATATGGACCTAGTGGAGATTTCAACGGTATTTTAATTATCGATATTTCACCGCTTATTTTTATCTAATGACTTTTTTAATTATAAAAAAGGAGTTTTAAGTATGAAAAAGGTCACGTATTGAAGAATAGATGACAAGAGAAGAAGTATACACTTTACCATTGTGTGGAAGATCAAATCGAGAACTCGAATACGGCGAGAACATAAAAGCAAAGTGCCCAGCCGGTACCACAAACAGATGCAACCCAACAGAACGCGATACAATGTAGAATGTAATGTACTTTTCCATGCAGACCTGACTACCGACATTGCTTTTTATAGCTTTTCATATTTTTCTACTTTCTTCTTTTGCTCATCGTTCCGTAGCGGTTGCATGAAAATCAAGGGAAAACAGGTTGGACGTTCGCACAATGAAAGTCCAAAGTGAGAAAGGTAGAAATGAGAGAGAGAGAGAGAGAGAGAGAGAGAGAAAGAGAGAGAGAGAAAAGGATTACATAAAATTATAGTAATCGAAAGCAAAAATCAGAATACCTAAGAATTTTGATATTGTTTCGAAAAGTAACAGATTATAACATTCGTTATCAATGTTTTGTTCGATAAAGACAATCGAAAGAGTCATCGATTATATTTTTTAAAACATTTTTGAAATTTCGTGCGATCGAAAAGAAAAGAAAAAAAAAAAAAGAAACAAGAAAGAGAAAAAGCCGATAAAAACGAAAATAAACCTCAATAGGATTATCTCGATAGAAAACAATATTACATTTTATCCGACTTAGAGATAGAAACGAAAGAGAGATGCGCATCGATCAAATCGTTTTTATCATTCCAGGCAGAGCCAGCTTTAATGTACGACAGTGTGCAGGTCTTCGCAGTGGGTTTAAGGACTCTCGAGCAATCGCACGCCTTGAGGCCTGCCAATATATCCTGTGAGCTTGAGCATCCCTGGGATGGTGGATTGTCCCTTATTAATTACATCAATTCCGTAAGTCGTTTTGAGAGATCTTTATTCGTACAACCAAAATATCTAACTATTATTTTTCAATTTGAAATTAGGAAAAAATTTTGGATATTAAATTATGGCATAAATCATAAATAATAAGAGAGAATATTTACATTCAAAAACCATTACTTTGTATGTATACCTTTAAAATGTATAACCACATTAAGCAGAAAACGTTAAAATAATTTGCTTTAATTCGGCGGCCATTATGAAAATGGTATAATCTAAGCATCGTTAGCGGACAATTATTTCCACAAATGGATATACTTACTGTAATACATACTCCATATTCGTAATATAAATAAAAATGAAAAACCGAAGAACATGTTTACGTTCTGTCACGTTCTCTTTACGAACTTACCAACGATAGTTATGATTTTGATGGCTAAACGTTTACTCTGAAACACTATAGCGAACTTTGTTATCCCATGGCAGATAGAAAGAATTCGAATTCGACTAGATACGTTGAACGTGCAGAGACCTGTTATTCGCTTACACGTTCGTTCAGCTTTTCTTTTGGATTTTTTTCTTTCTTTCTTTCTTTCTTTCTTTCTTTTTTTTTCTTTTTTTTTCTTTTTTTCTTGGTTCAATCACCGATCGTCAGGACAAACGAACAACCCCCACCCCTCATCCCCCGAAGCTCTGCGTCTCTTCGCACGATCATCCACGACGCCTTTTGGAAATGCTGATACTTTCTAAAGAATCAAAGGCTTCGAAGGGATCGAAAGTTTTTTTTTAGAAAGTTTTACTCCTTCACTACGAACTATCGAGAGTCTTAAACTTTTAGAGAAAACGACAGTGACATACTAATTCGTACGGTTTTTTTTAAATTCAGGACGATATCTTTTGAGTTTGTTTTGTTTTTTTTTTGTTCCATCTCTGTTTCTCAATTTTGATTACCCCATTGACATAGATTGACATTAAATTACATCGTGTTGTAGACTTGAAATATTTTCTTCGAACGTTCGAGAGTTTTCTTCGAAACATTTGGTCTATCTCGAATGAACTTAGCAAATATTGCTAAAAATTTTTTAACTTCGAAAATTTTTATCGTAGCAAACGTTCCTACGAAGTTCGTATATAAGCGTTCTGAATTCCAATTGATAGATCGCTCCTTCTACCTAAAGATGTTGGTAACTTGACAGGAGTTACCATATTTCCAACTTCTTTACTATCTCTCTGAACATCTTTTGCAAATTTTTTACTTATTGACGTATCCATCATTGAACAGTATTCAGCATATGATATATTTTCTTATAGATTCACAAAACTCGTTTTTTTTTTCTCTCTTTTCTGCTCTCATTTTTTTTTCTTTCTTTTTCTTGATAACTAAACAAAATTAAGAGAATGAAAAAAATGAAACGAACACTAGGATACATAGCCGTGGGTACTCGGTGAGTTCCCTTGCGGGTAAATATTTGATACGACAAAACGGCGAACGGACAAAGAATCGAAGAGACGAAGGAGGTTAGAAAAGATAAGAAGAAATATAGAAAGTCAATCGTAAAAGGAGTGATTGGAACAAGTGATATTGTTCGTTGGTTCGTTGACGAAATTCAATTGTATCGAGTTAAAAAGTGGAAAAGAAAATCCAAAGAAAAATATTAGAATGTTCGTTTGTTCGCTTAAATCGATTCAAAAGTAAATATATCGAATATAATACTGCCTATTAAATTTTAATTGATATATGCAGAATCACGTTTGCGTCGTTTATTTTATATAGAAGAATAACACAAATCAAGGATCGAAATAGACGGAATTTTGTTGAAAATGGATGAAAAAGGAAACAAAACAAATAAACATATAAACATTCAAACAAACAAACAAACGAAAGAACAAATAAAAAAAAGATTTGTAATAAATTTCAATCAACTGTTCTGGTTCGCAACGTGTGGTGCGACGTGCCATGCTACAGTCTCCTCTGGATAAATTGTTTAATACCGTGATGAACGGTTTTCAAAGCTGCCACGAACAGAAATCACATATCTTTCTGTGACATTGCACTTTTTTTCCTTTCCGACCCGACGACTCTTTCCACCTTTTCGTACGTACGTTCATACTTTCAACATTTTTCTTTTCCTTCGTATATCAAATAGGAATTCTTAATCGAATTATAAATAAGATTTGCGTTATTATGAGTTTCAAAAATATTTCGAAAGTAAATTCAAATCCAACATCGTATTTTGACATAACGTTTGACGTATCGAAACGTGTTTCTGATAGTAGTTTAATGTTCACGAAGAAAAAGATAGTGACGTGAAATCTAACGTACATGTATCTACGTATATATGTGGCTTTCGTTAAGTAACAAGAATTTCATACGTTCGTGCTACATGCTCGTTTCTTTTCGCAACTGAGATTTGCGAAGCATGCGTGATTTATAAAATTGAAGAAGACATTTTCTATATAAGATAGAATTTTAATAGTTATATATTAAAATTTCTTTTTATTTCTTTTCTTTTACTTTTTTCCTTTCTTGTTTCTTTTCAAATTTTATACGTTCGTTTTTACTATGTTTTCTCAACAATGATATTCGCTAAGATTGACTTGAAAAAAGAAATGAAAAAAATGTTAAATACGAATTTTAGATACGATAACGATTTCTATGATAATTTGTTCTTTTTTTTTTCTTTTTATTTTCTTTTCTTTTTTTTTTTTTTTTTTTTTTATTTTATTTTTTATCAACTAACAGAATGAGTTTTATTGCTACCGGTTAGTGTAAACTAACCGGTGAACGGAAATCATATTTTTTTACATGTAGAAGAAGAGAAGGAGAATGAGAGGGAGATAGAAAAAGAGAGAGGGAAAATGCATGATTCCATAACCGTCGGGATGGATTGCGTACCATTTGGAAAGTATAGAAGGAAGGGAAAGTCGATACATAAATGCAATTTCGAATGGGTCAACCATTTCCGTGTTCCTAGCGGTCATCTACCGGGGAAACGTTTCAAAGATCGTCGACGTGGAAATATGCGTCGTTGCAACTCGTGTTACGATTAAACGAGCTTTCATTTATAACAAGTATATCCCTTTAATTGTCCAATGGATATTTAGTGGCTCCGATGTAACATAATTACGATGTAAATTCACATGTTTCAGGGATATTTATTTAAAAGTATATTTAATGTTTAACAAATGTACACATGTTTTCCTTTCATAAATTTTTAAGAGAGAATTTTTATAATTCAACGAAGGAAAAATAAAAATTTTTTTAATTTGAGAAGTAATATATCAGAAAAAAAATAAGTGGACCATATTTCCTAACCGTGAAAAATATCTTTTTAGTAGTAACATTTTTCTCTCTAATGCGTTCATGCATATGCATGCGTTCGCATATCTCGATACATGAAAGTTCCTCTAACCTCGACTTTTCAACTTCGTTCCGACGTAAAACGCGTAGCGGCTTCTACGTTCTAACGTTCGTTCTTCTTCGAGGAAATCCATATCATATCTCACGCTAAGTTTGCAGACCTTTTTGGTATTAAATCGTGGTGCTCTTGTTCTACTTTGCGCCAAGTTTCACTGATCGTGAACGTGATAATAGCTTTCTCCTTTTTTTTTTTTTTTTTTTTTTTTTTTTAAGAAAAACGATGCAACGTATAATATAGAACGTTTCGTTATCGTTGAAACTCAATTAATTCGAAACGTATTCGTACGTAACAAATTATCGATCGAATTATCAAAATCTATAATATTAATTTTGTAAAACGTCATGTTCTACTTTTGGAAAATTTAATGGTATTAATAAATTAAATTGAACTAACTTAACGTAAACTAATTAAAAATACTTGATGGTATATCTGTGCATTATCGTTAAAAAGTCTACTCCTGTAATATATAGATATATTGGATCGCTATCAGAAAATTAAAAATACTTGCGTAACGGCACATTCACGCTTACCATTTAATTGAACGGTATGGCTCTATAAATTTGTGAATCTATCAGAGTATGGTGTACGTGCTACGCATCGAAACTGGTTCTCCCCTAGGAAAAGCGTAGCAGGTAATTATTTATTCGATTCGATGACTCTCCAAGGAAATGAGTAACGAGGAGTATCGTTGCTCGATCGTGTTTTAGCGATGTCAACAACCTCGGTTTTCCCACTGAATTTTACGTTTTCGTACAATTTTTACGATTTTTCGAGACATCGAGATCGAACGTAATCTCCACTTTGATGCGTCGCACGATCGATCACTTTCGGATTACCAAGGTGAAAAGCATTTCTCTAAAACCTTCTCGTCGATCAAGTTTTAATCTTATTGATCGATAAAGTGGATCGGAAGGATTAAAATCGAACTGTTGCAAGAAAAAGTCGATGAACGAATATACATTGACAAAAGAAAAAAAAACGAGCAAATATGATGATCGATCAAAAGAATTTTCGATCTTTATAATATTCATCGGTTAAAACGAAATCTAATACCGAGTAAAAATATAAACCAATGAATAAAATTATCCAAAGATCATCCGTATCCTGTATTATCCATGAGGAAACAACAAGAACATTTATGGACACACATTAATTTAATAAACGGCACGACGAGATTCCAATATCGGCACCGAGTTCTAGGAAAGCCTTAATCGACTTGAGATATTTCCATCCTTCCAACCCTTCGTGGAATTTTGGAATGGTCCAGAGTGAATATCAACCGAAAGCGCCTTTCTAATACTGGATTCTGAATTATGATTGATGTTAATCGCTGTTAAGTCGAATGGTTTAAATTAGCATCTCAGAACATAGTCCGATTGTTCTATCAAGAACCATCGATAATCCCGTACACCGACAATAGTCGATTATATCTCTACCCTTCGTATTCTAATAATATAAGAGAAGAGAAGCATTGAAATGGAAGGTGTACCGTAAGGAAAACAATAAAGGGAATGACCGGTGGCCCATTGCGAGACCATTAGATAATTACGAAGTTGCATATTGAGGTAACCACGAGGGAAGCTGAGAAATATTAAATGCATGGTTATCATT